TTTTAGTTTTGATGCAAGAACGCATGATCGCACCGGCTCGCCTGGTGCGTTCCAGCCTTTGTTGAAAATGATCCAGCTGTTCAATGAGAAATTTTCCCCGCTAAAAATTTAATTGCGCGTATACGAAAACCAAGCGTGCATGGAGGCTGAATTTGAAACCTTTAAGTTGCATTTAAACGGGAAATGTTCTCCTAAAATCTCAGCTTTCCAGCTTTTCTGATTCTCAAGTTAGCAATTTTCCCGGCAAAACTTCCACGGGACCGCACGTGACCTGAAGGCATGCCTGAAGACTGGGTTTGGAATCTTTAAGTTGTACACGGGTTGTGAACATTCCCTAAAAATTTTGGGCTCCTGGCTTACCTGGTTCCTAAGTTAGCCATTTTCCTGCCAAAAAACTTTCGCGAAGCCGCTACGTAAGAATCGCACATGCCTGTGGGCTGAATTTGATAATTTTAAGTCGTACATGGGCTAGGAACATCCCTTGAAAATTTCAGCCTCTCAGCTTTCCTGGTTCCCAAGCTAGCGATTTTCGCGCCAGGAATCCTCATGGAGCTGTATGCGGGAACCACGTAAACCTGGGGCTGAACTTGAAATCTTTGGCTTATGTGTGAACGGGGAAACTGACCTAGAATTTCAGCTTTCTATCTTTTCTCGTTTCCGAGTTATCTATTTTCCCGCCAAAACTTTCACCCTCTCGTATGCGGGGTCGAGACTTGTGTGAGGGCTGGTGCTGCGGTCTGCGGTGGCACTTTGCCGGGACACCCACTAGCAAAGTCCTGGCGCTGGAACTTGTTTGGTTGTCGAGTTGAAATACCCAGACAGACGAACATACACACAAACATACACACACATACACACAGGCAGGTCGTGGCAATATGCGTTTTTGCAATTTGCACATAGGCAAAAACGCATAAAAAGTACAAGAACAAAGCGGTATGTTTGCTGACGAGTTCTTAAATTAAGGATCATAGTCACGTGGTTTCTGACGGCTTCTTGTACGATTATTTGGATCCGCCATTATTCTGGGAAATGATAATTATGGATCTTGTGCTCGTCCGGCAAAGCTTTTACTACGGTATTTAACGCCCATATCCGTTGATTTTTTGAGAATTATGTGGAAGCGCGACAGATAAACATTAGTATTTTGTCGAAACTGTAGACATGCAAAGGCATTTCTTAATTTTGAACAGTATTCAGTGTTCAATTTGGTTATACCGAGCACAATTATCAGTCTGGTAGCTGTGATCGGATTCCACACACCGAGTACCAGTGGTCGAATGAGGTAATCTGGAATAACAGAAAGATATTGTTCGAATAGCTGGTTACTTGTGGCTACAATCTGGACATGACGAAGTCCGCTCATGTTTTTTTTTAAGAAATAGCGGAACCCACTCCCCAAAATTGATTCCATTTTAATAATTTACAGCCTCTTCTGGTCCATTTTAATAGATTTTACAAAGTCTGGGCAAGCCAAACTGACTTGTGAAAGCGTTGACTTATAAATTCATAGATGAAGCGAGTCTGATTTTGCCTCATGTCAAAAGAGCAATGCTTTGTAGGGATGCGAAATTCAGACTTGGCATAATGACACTGATGAGCATGAGTGTCATACTGCTTGCTATCGTCGAGGATATGCCGAAATTCAGCATGTCCAGTGCTCGAAAGGGACGTGGCTCGTTCTCCGGCATACCACTGATTGGTTATTTTTATGGACGTTATCAAGCTTAAGGAGCTCGCCAAGAAGTTACCGCAGGCACACAGTGCCTGGCTCGGACTACCCATCCCGAACAGCACGTACAATAGTATAAACACTTTCTGTGTGGAGCTATAAGAGGTTCTCTTTTCTCTCAAAAAAGTTTCAGGCCTGTACTATTTCATACTACTAGCAATAATTGGCTCATCAACAGTTACAACATCGATGTTTGTTTTCCTGGAGAAAGATCTCAGGCGTAAGAACCAGATCCCGTGGTACTTGCACTGGTTGTCGTTTGACATAAATTCTGGATTCCTTCGGTAAGAATTATGAATTCAGGATCCCTTGCTTTGAATAAGATACCCAAGCTGGAACGCACTAAGCTTACCGGTGCGATTTTGCGTTTTTGCATCAAACTCAGAGTTTTTAGATAATTAATTGCATGGATGTTGTTGCTTCACACCTGCCTTGTGCGTTCACTACCGTAAATCGTCGTAAATTTTGCATAAAGGAAAATGAACTATTTCCGGAAATAACTTAGCTATTCGATGAGTAATTTTCTCATCAAAAATTTAAGTGCCTGTACACGAGAACAACGCATACTTGGAGGACTGAATTTGAAATCCTTAAGTTGTATTTAGACAGGGAATGTTCTCCTAAAATTTCAGCTTTTCTGTTTTCCGAACTAGCTATTTTTCCCCAAAAATTTTGCGCACTCGTACGTGGGTACCATGCGTACCCAAAAGCTAAACTTGAAATCTTTAAATTGCACGTGCACAGAGCAAGCACCTATAAAGTTCCAGCTCTCTATTCTTCCTGGTTTCCGAGATCGCTTTCCTGCCAAAAAATACTCCCGAAGTTCCAGCCTTTTAGCTTTTCTGGCTTTCGAGCTGGAAGTATGTGACAAAAAGTGCGAACACATAGACAGTCTCTTCCCAATATGCGTTTTTATGCGTTTTTGCTGTGCAGCGCTATAGCAGCGCTATAGCAGCGCTATAGCGC